ACATGGATAATCCTTGGAAACATATCTGACTAGCACATGGTGGAACCTATGCCAATATACATTTCAATAACCAAATAAACTTGCCTATTTTCCCCAAAGTCTAATTATTATGAAATTTGATAATTGTGTGACATTTGTATTAACATATGGCCCTAACATGTGAAGTATACATACAGTTGAAATGAATAAATTCACTTAAAAGCAAAACCACTCTTTTGGAGGAGAGGGAATGACCCTATTATATTAGACCAGTACTTAGGGGAAAATAGTAAATAAATAAAATGTCTTGAAATGAATGAAAAACAGATTGTACAGCCTTGCAGAACATCAAGGCAGTATATTTTTAGTCTAAATACAAGAATCAATCACTAAGAAATCAAAATGATGACTTGGGATAAGTCTTGGTGGAGTTTATTATATAGACTTACACTTTATCTTCCGATTTGTCTAGACCATAGGCCAGAGCAGCAGCTGTGGGTTCATTAATCACCCGAAGCACATTCAGTCCAGCTATCTGACCAGCGTCCTTAGTGGCCTAAAAAAGAAAAAAGCATTTTCCTTCCACCTTTGTGTCCACAATACCATGAATTTCCTAAATAAAAATGCTAATTGACTCACCTGTCTTTGTGAGTCATTGAAATAAGCTGGGACTGTGATCACAGCATTTTTTGCTGTATGCCCCAGGTAATTTTCTGGAAAAGAATCAAGGAATGAATCCAATCATGCGATTGTCAGTAGAAATAGGTAACAGAATTACTAATGTAACCTAACAACCTATATCATCCTTTTGGAGCCACAAACAGCACACACCAGTTTTTCAGCATGCTAAGACCTAACATGTAGAGACCTTGTAGGAAAATACTTCAACTGAAGATAATAATTAAAAGCCAAGACCTCACCTCTAACACTTCAGTGAAAGTTCAACAACTAGAATGACTTAAAATGACTACTAGTTTCATCAATGGAAAGTTCTAAACTTTTACCTAACTAACAGACAAAAGCTTATGTGTCATCTTTTGGCTTTCAAAATACTACTCCCCTACTGGAAAAAAGGAACAAGAAAGACACCATTAGGAAAATTTGGAAGATATATTCAATCTGCAGAGAATAGTATGAAGAGTTTTGCCATTCCTAGGTTTTCTGTATAAAAGCCACCAAACTCATCCAAGGGACACTGGGGTATAAAAGCTAGTGATCTCAGATAAATCACCCAGTTCTTGATACTTTCCCAGACGTGAACTAAACATCTCACCTGCAGTCTCTTTCATCTTCATCAACACAAACGCTCCAATCTGACTTGGAGAATAGAGTTTTCCATGAGCTTCAACCCAGGCATCACCATTGGAGGCACGGACAATTTTAAAGGGAACATTTTTACTGCAAGACACAAAAATTGTATTTGAAAAAACATGGCAGTGCAATCTACCATGAATATCCACCCTCCCATCCCCAGAAATCCATGGTCAATGAGAACTTCAGAAATGAATTTAATGAAAGTCTTTAGAAAGTAAACATTAACATGTCAAAACACCCTGATGAAACCCAAACATTCTCTACTTCCCACCAAACAAAAAACTTAAGCAGGGGCTTTGGAAAATGATTATAGTTATCACTTATAGGACCCAGAAATTCCATTACTAAGTATCTAGCCAGGAGATATGAAAACATGCGTTCACACAAAAACCTGTGGCAGCATTATTCATAAAAGCTAAAAAGTGGCCCGGCTGGTGTGGCTCATGGTTGAGCATCGACCCATGAACCAAGAGGTCACCGGTTGGATCCCCAGTCAGGGCACATGCCCAGGTTGCAAGTTCAATCCCCAGTTGTGCAAGAGGCAGCTGATCAATGTTTCTATCTCTCTATCCCTCTCTTTAAAGTCAAGAAAAAAAAAGGGGGAAAGCAAACTTAATGTCCATTAACATAAATGGCTAAACAAAATGTATATATCCAGACAATGGAATATTATTTGGCCATATAAAGTAATGAAGCATTGATAACATGCCACAACACAAACCTTGAAAACTATCTGATCAGCACATGCCACTATCTGCCTTACGAATTTAACACCAATTTACATGGCCTAGGAATGACTAGCCAAATCTTCATATACCACATCTATACACAGCAAAGACCTAATCTGTGGAGGCAAAAATAAATTTTTTGAAGGAGATATCCTTTTGGCAGGAGAGGGCTTGCCCCCAGGGACACATAAAATTACTAATGTGCTCAAGGGAACTTGCTAAAAGATTCTTTTGTGTGGCCTTCGCAAATAACTATGCTTTTGTAATTACTCACATGTCTTTCTGGACTTCAGGGTCGTCATATCGCCGGCCAATAAGACGCTTGGTAGCATAGAATGTGTTGTTTGGGTTGGTGACAGCCTGTCGCTTGGCAGGCATGCCAACAAGTCGCTCACCATCTGTTGTAAAGGCTACAACTGAAGGGGTGGTTCTGGCACCTTCAGCATTCTCCAGCACCTAAAACACCCAAAGCAAGACAGAGAACGAGGTTCCAGTGACCACCACTGTCTTTGTATTCATCATTTAAGACAAAACAGATGTCAACTCACAACATAAATGCTCAAGAATAGTGGATGTTCAAAATATCTTTATTTTGAAACAACAGAAAGAAAACCAGAATCAATATAAATCACAGCTTTCATAGTCAATGTAAGGACAAGGTAATCTTTCCTTCTAGAAGAATTAAATCCATTTCTCAATTTTTTTGGTAATGGCTAAAAAGTTTCAGGCATATAAAAATTGCCAAGAAACAATTCAAGAATCTCAGGTGCGCCCTAGCCGGTTTGGCTCAGTGGATAGAGCGTTGGCCTGCGGACTAAGAGGTCCCGGGTTCGATTCTGGCCAAGGGCATGTACCTTGGTTGCGGGCACATCCCCAGTGGGAGGTGTGCAGGAGGCAGCTGATCGATGTTTCTCTCTCATCGATGTTTCTAACTCTCTATCCCTCTCCTTTCCTCTGTGAAAAATCAATAAAATATATTAAAAATAAAAATGGATTAAACTTAATTTTTTTTTTAAAAAAAAAGAATCTCAGGTGCTCTAAATATCAAGAACCTAGTGGGAATAAAAGTGTCATAAAAAGAGTAAGGAAACTTCTGGAAGAATAGCTACCATAATAGGAATCTCCTAAGATGCTTTACTTAGGTTGCAGCCCATGTGTTATGTGGAGCTCCACTTGGGATTGATAACAGAAGTAATCTGTAATCTATCTGTAAACCATCCCAATGGTAATTTAGTAGTCCAAGAGGACACACCTAAATCCTTGGAAGTCAAATCCATTCAATTATCAGCACCATGCAATTGTGACCCAGAGCTTCAAGTCATGCTCACCTTTGCTTGTTTACCTTCCATAACGGCCACACAGGAATTGGTAGTACCCAAATCAATACCAACAACTGCTCCCTTGATTGCTTCTGATCTGTAAAACATTTAAAACAATGCTATAGCTATCATTTTAATAGTGATCTCCAAAATGGTTACAGGAATACATAAGAAGAAAATATTGGATACTGTGGAAATAATGGCACATTACATAATCTGAAAATATAGATGTGTCATTTTTTCCTGAACAGAATCATTAATCACAAAGTTAGAGACCACTGCTCTGGGGTTTAGAATTTATCTCTCAAAGGAAATAAAGTTACACTTACGCATAGTCCCGCTTTGAGACAATTCTAAAAGTCTCATGACTAAGGCCATTCCAGCCATCCTAAAAAAGAAAAAACAGTTACATCAGCCATTATTACATATGAAAATTTGAACTTGTTCCAATTATTCTTCTGAAAGTCTTGGACTCTCATTCTACTTAACTGAGTGGCTATCATTTATAAAATATACTGAAATGATGAAGCGTTTCATGTATAAGAGGCATTGCGGTACTGAAACAGCAAGCTGAATAAAGCCCTACACATACGTATGTATTACAGGTATAAGTTTATTTAGAAAGATTTACCCTGACCCTGCCAAGCAACTGCTTTAAAGAGATAGAATTAGAAATCTTGTGGAGTCAACTTAGAAAAAAAAATTTTTTCCCAGGAGTAACCTCCAACCAGGATCAAAGAAAAGACCTTTGTTACGACCTAATTTTAGGCTACTTCCAAGCCTTTCTTTAACCCCAGGAAGACAATTCCAGTTCTTCAAAGATGTAGGATTTTGATCGTATGTGGTAACAAGCACCATGGCTTTACCACAATTTGCTTACATTTTTTGAAATAACAGAGGACAATCTTAACCCCAAAATGTGGGGGAACTAACTACACAAACATTGCTAAGCAAAAGAACGGGAACTCGATTCTGGATTTATTAAGGTGTGTTCTTGAATCATTTCATCTTTGCAGCGGGGTCCTTGCACACATGTATCTTACAGAAGAGCAGTCGTCTCCGACTCGTTGGTGAGAATACAAACCTGAAGAGCGGTTCCCTCCTAACTAGAATTGCATCCCTCGCCCCCAAGCTCAAACCTGTTTAATCAGCCACAAAACGGGTCGTCAGGACCACTACCTACTACTTCGTGAAATAAGACTCCGCGCTGGCAAGGGGTGTGACTCAGCAGGGCTCGACACGGAGATAAAACCTGAAATGGGCCTTGAATCGGCAGCGCTGATTGCAGAAGGCCCGTTACCTTTCTTCCCACCGGATCTCTCCCAGAGGATTCTGACCCCAAAGGGCGCGTGGCCTGCAGCTCCAAGGCCCAAGACCGTGAGCCGTGAGCCCCTCGGGGAAGGCCTGGAAGTTTCTTACCTGGTGGCGGGCGACCGTGGGGCCCCGGGAGGCTGCAGCGCCGACGAGACGGGATGCCGCGGCTCGGCTGGCGCTTATCATGGCGGCTAAACGGTGAGCGTACGAGGCAACAGTCACTCGGACAGCCGGGAGCTGCGCTGCGCTGCGCGGCGGTGGGAACGCTTCTGGAAACCTCCAACCACGTGGGGTGGGGAGGGCGGGGGTTGGTCGCTGGAGTCTGGAGGCCCGCTCTTCCGCTGAGGCGCTGCCTGCACTGCCTGACCAGAGACTACCTGACCGCCGCTGCCGGAGGAAGCGCGTACGGCCAATACGCTCCGCAGCATGATGGTTGAAAAAGTGCGTCCTTCAGTTCTGGCCGTGGCAGGTACGGGCTCAATGAGAGGCGAGGGGTTTAAGAGAAATATAAAGGCAACAACCTTGGACAGCCCTGGTCCTCGGAGGCAGCTAAGACTCAAGGTCACACGGGATAAACTGCGAAACGATTACAGTCTCCTTGCGTCAGTTGCGTGAGAGGAGGGGCCTCTTGCGCCTGCGCAGCTGGCGCCCGGCTGAGCGCCTGGAGCGCATGTGCCCAGGGAGTGGCGGAAAACAGGGGTGGGGTCTAACTACAGCTCTCATTGGATGTCCCACCGAACGTAGCCGGAGGCGAGCACGGGCGTGTGCACGCTCCTCGCGCGTGGATGTTATCCCTGCTCCCGCTCCGAGCCGGAGGGCGCCATCTTGTCCTGGGTGTTTGTTCTGTGTAAACCTCAGGCTCGGAACCTTCGTTGCTCGTCCCCGTCCTTTACTCGTTTTCTGGCTGCCTGTTGGTATATATATATTTTTTAACCTTTATTTTTATTGTTGACACTATTACACATGTCCCCAACTCCACCCAGCCTCTGCTCCTCCTTCCCTCTGGCCATCACATCACTGTTGTCTGTGTCTATGGGCTATGATATATGTTCTTTGGCTAATTTCTTCAGCTTCTTTAATCGAGTCCCCCGGTCTGTTGGTACCGCAGTAACTGGAAATGCGCATACACACCCTGGGCTGGCCCTCACTGAGGGTACTCGGGGCCTTCACAAACCTTACGCTGGTTGCTAGGGACAGAGACTGTGGGTTCTGTAACAAAATGGCAGTGGCCACCGCGCGCTGACCAGTTTCAGATTTTTGAGAAAAAGAATTAATTCATTGATTCAACAAATATGTACTGATGTGACAGACACTAAGTATACAGTGGAAACAAAATGTGAATTCACTTATCACAGCTTGAGCTTACTTTTGCAAAGGAAGCAATTTATCCTTCAAGCTTTAAAGTCCTATTCTTTTTCATTTACTTATTATTTATTTATTTATGAGAACATTTATTGGTCGGGGGAAGTTGGGGAAGAAGATAACTGGAATGTGCATTGTGAGGGGAATGGAAGTAAGAAACAACTAAAGGGTCCTGGGTTCGATTCTGGTCAAGGGCACTGTTAGGTCCCGGGAGGAACGCTGGAGGCCTGAGTGGTGCAGGATTACAAATGACCCGCACACCAGATGGCTGAGCCTGGATGGCTCCAGCACCCAGTGACGGGAGTCAGTGGCTTTTTTTTTTTTTTTACAGAGAGGAAGGGAGAGCGATAGAGAGAAGCATCGATGAGCGAGAAACATCGACCAGCCGCCTCCTGCACACTCCCCAATGGGGATGTGCCCGCATCCAAGGTACATGCCCTTGACCGGAATCGAACCTGGGACCCTTCAGTCCGCAGGCCGGTGCTCTTTCTACTGAGCCAAACCGGTTAGGGCGGATTCAGTGGCTTTCTTCTGGGCGGAGACTTCTTTATGCAGACCCAGAGGGGAGATAATGGAATGTGGTCTCAGCAAAGGGAATGTCCATAGTGAAATGACCTGAAAAGCCAATTCCCGGGGAAGGGTATCAATTCAATTGCTCCATCAAACCTAAGGAACATGCACGGATTGCGGGCTCCATCCCCAGTAGGGGGTGTGCAGAAGGCAGCCAATCCATGATTCTCTCTCAACATTGATGTTTTTATCTTCCTTTCCCTCCTCCTTCCTCTCTGAAATCAATAAAAATCTATTAAAAAATAAAAAATAAAATAAAAAGTAATTCCTAGAAGAAAGGGGCTTAGAAATGAGTTATGGAGGTAAAGGAACTTGGCGCTTGGGAGTGAGGAAGCTAATGGTAATAGAAATATATTTTTAAAAATATATTTAAAATATATTTTTTTAAAAATTGCCAAATTATGGAGGGATCGGATAGGGAGAAAAATATAATTTACCAAATTTCTTTATAAAAACAGTCTTCTTGTATCTGGAAAGCAAAAGGAAAATCCTGGTCCATTTTTTTTCTTTTTCATATATATTTTTATTGATTTCAGAGAGGAAGGGAGAGGGAGAGAGATAGAAACATCAATGATGAGAATCATGGATCAGCTGCCTCCTGCACGCCCCCTACTGGGGATCGAGCACCCAACCGGGGCATGTGCCCTGACCAGGAATTGAACCGTGACTTCAACCACTGAGCCACGCTGGCTGGGTCCTGGTCCTTTTGATGAAGTGGAAAAGAACCAAATTCTAACTCTGTATTAGCTTACTTTTGATCTTTAAATTTATTTCCTTAAATTTATTATTTAGGAAAGTGCATGCTGGGCCTTCATTCTGAGGGGTTTTAAAGACTGGGCATTTTCAGGATGTCTTAGGGGAGGATCACAATAGAATAAATCAGCTTTATGCTGATATACCAAAATGAGGTTTATTCTCAACTTCATTGTCCTTGGGTGTGGTCAGCAAATGACACTAATTGGATTTCTGCTATCTGTCTCTCTGAGTAGGTTGTTATTTACCCTCTGCTTGGGTTGGAAAAGTGTAAACCATTTACTCTTAAGTGTCCTTGGGAAGATAGAATTTATAGATGGCTGTATACTGCTGTTTAAATATCTGTTTCTCTATTCTGCTTGTCCTGGCTTACTAGACTGTGTCATTTTAACATTTCTCTTACAAACCTTCCATAACTTTCACAAACCTGTCTACAACCTTCACAAACCTTTTAACCCATTCAGAAACAACTAGCTTTAGAACAATTCACTCTTTCCTTCAAAATATGTTTTCATATTCCATTACCAAAACCATATAATTTCTTTCCAATTAATGTGAACTTTTAACTCGTAGAAACCTCAATTTCCAATAATAACCAAAAAGCAAGCAACCAGCATTCCTTAAATTGACATTTATGAACATTTTAAACACTCTCAGTTTCAAGCCCAATACACCTTCAAAATACAAGACATTATACCAAGATTTCCAAATCAATTTTCTAGCTCTTTTGTATTAAGAGGCCCAAAGTAGGTAAACTTAAGACTTGTCTAGCAATTAATGTTTAACAGCTGAAATGAGTTAATTTGATCTGCTCACATGACTAAAGTATTTTTCCTTTCAATAAGGGTTACCTCCCAGAAACTTGCATTTTAAAAGATGGCCTAGAATCTAGGCGCCAGATAAGAGTTTTAGACCAGTTACTTGCATTTCAAAGGTCCTGGGACTTTGGTTTCATAAAGTCAATTATCTATAAGTATTTTGAGCTGAACCGAGGAGGTTTATGGTAAAGTAAAAGGATTTGGTGGCTTGAATTGTTTCTGGAGCCATACCTCTGACCCTGTAAAGATTTTATTTATAAAACAGGACAGTCATTTTTTCAAAAAATGTTATTATTATTTTTAAAATCCTCATCCAAGGGTATTTTTTCCATTGATTTTTAGGGAGAGTGGAAGAGAGAGGAAAGACAGGAAGAAACATCGATGTGAGAGAAATGCATCAATTGGTTGCTTCCTGCACGAGCCCTGACCAGGGCCTGGACCAGGGAGGAGCCTGCAACCAAGTACATGCCCTTGACCGGAATCAAACCTGGGACCCTTTGGTCCGCTGGCCGATGCTCTATCCACTGAGTCAAATCCGCTAGGGCAGGACAGTCATTTTCAATACCTCAAGGACTGGCAAATGTTGACAAAGGACTGACAAATTCATTCATCCATTTTAAAAATGTTTCTTTCCATTTAAGTATATTTTTCTTTCAAGCTCTGTAGCAATTACAGAGAGATCTAGTTTATGGGTAGCATATAGCTGAGGGTCATTTCTTAGAGTCCTAATAGCTTGCATGTATGAAAAATACACGTTTGATTTAAAAAGGCCTCATTCTCCATTCACTTCCCTTGGGAATGGCAAAAGAGGTCTAGCTGCAGGATAGTATTAAACTTAATGGTGCCATTAACTGGCCAGATCTCTCTATTGTCCACTTTATAGTGGGGTCAGGTTATGTTGTAAAAGAAGCTTGAAGGACTTAGGTCAAATTTCACCCAAAAGGGTAAATTGAGGGACTGTGGACTGGTTCCACATCTATGGAGAGACAGATCAATTCCCAGCTGAGAGAGGCATCCCAGCTATCCCCTAGGCTGTCCTGGGCCATCGTCCTGTGGTCTGACAATGTACCACAGTAGCACAGGTCCCTTTTCACCCTCAGAGGGTAGACTTTAGACTTTAGACTTTGCTGTACAGACTTCAAAGTTGCAGGCTAATGACCCCTGTTTGTAGAGATTAATATTCTAAAAATATATATATTGATGCAAAAGAACATAGAGAGGAGTGACAAAGACATAATATTAAACATTGAAGCAAAATAGAAATGGAAAACTTTACATCCTTATGTTGTACATGACAGGGAGGGAGGAGGGCGAGTGGAATAATTGGAGTACCTACATTTTCATCTCAAATGGCTCTCTTAAGAGTTTCCTTTTTTTCTTCTTGTTGCATACATTTAAAAGCCACAAAATATTCATCAAAGGAATCCTGGAATCAAACAGTGTTAGCTAAAGGGTGTCTGAGACCATATTCCTGGTGGTTTCTTCAAGAGCCTGGCAAATTCTCTCCATGACCACAAGGGGGATGTGGAAGCTAGATATTAAAAGCAAGAGTCTGGGGGTTGGGGGTTGGGGGTAGGGGGAAAATAAGGGGTCAGTGGGAGAAAAAAAGGGAACATATGCAATACTTTCAACAATAAAGATTTAAAGAAATAAATAAAAGCAGGAGCCTGAAAATATATTGTCTTTGCCAGTTTGGAGAGCAGGCTTATAGACTGCTTTGCAAATTGATCTGGCCCACAGCTCAAAGGCTTGAAGAAATGAGCCTGAGTCTAAAAATAAATAGGGTGCAAATAAATAAGAATGAATGGTTAGCCCTGGTTGGTGTGGCTCTGTTGGAGCGTCGTCTGTGCACTGGAAGGTTGCAGGTGTATACTAGTAATTCTTCACTATCGAGCACAGTATTATATTTTATTTCTCTGTTGTCATCTCAGTGTCACACTGGAAAGTGAAAGGAGTTGGTACATGA